TGAGCTCATGTAGACTTCATCGTAATATCGAAATTGGTAAATGGGCTGCTGAATCTCTTCTAGAGTTAGAGCCCCAGAATCCTGCTAGCTATATCTTGCTCTCAAGCATCTATGCTGCTAAAGGGAAATGGAATGAGGTGGCCAATTTAAGGAGAGGAATGAGGGATAAGGGGGTTAGAAAGGAACCAGGATGCAGTTGGATCAAATGTAAGAGCAGAGTGCACATTTTTTCAGCAGATGACCAGTCAAGTCCATTTTCAGATCAGATATATGCCAAGCTGGAGAAACTAAATTGCAAAATGATAGAAGAGGGGTATGAGCCAGATATGAGTTCTGTTCTTCATGATGTTGAGGAATCAGAAAAGAAAAAGATGCTTAATTACCACAGCGAGAAGCTGGCAATTGCGTTTGGATTGATATTTCTTCCTGCTGGCGTTCCTATACGAGTAGTTAAAAACCTTAGAGTATGCGGGGATTGCCACAATGCTACTAAATACATTTCCAAGATCACCAAGAGAGAGATACTTGTAAGAGATGCTGTCCGGTACCATTTATTTAAAGATGGAACTTGTTCATGTGGAGATTTCTGGTGATGAGATTGTCAGTGTCAAAAGCTGTTGGAGAGGATTGTAAAACCATTATATTTATTAGGTAAGTGACCAAATTCAGAATTTCTCTGTGCTTCAGAAGCAACTATTCAAGAATTAGAAATAGATGCATCAACAATTTTAATGAGAATAGAATCATTCCAGTAATGGTAGCTAGCTGCTGAGACAATGCTAGAGAGGTGGAAAAATCATCAAGGCAAAGAGATTGAGGTGTTTGAAGAATTTAGGTTGTTAAAGACCAGAAGTGGTTAACCGTAAAATACACAATCACACAAAGACGGAAAATTATTTGTTAATGTCCAAAACTTGATCAACAATAGCCGAACCATAAAATACACAATCAAACAAAGCATGCAAGTTTGAGAATCTCAGGCATGGGCTGATAATTGCAACATAATCTAACTTTCATTCAGATTGCGGTGATCTTGTATTGGACTGTTCATGACCTTCATGTTGGTTCTGCATTAGGTTAAAAATGAGCTGTTAAATATAAGATTTATCACTGATGCAGACTCTGGGAAGAATTAGAAAGTCCAACAAGAATAGTTACCTGCTGCAACTGAGTACAGATCTCAATGACTTCAGCTGGAGGTGCCCAATCACCAAAGTTCCTCTCAATAAACTGGTATGCAATGCCACTCCTTCCACTGCCAACTACAAAGAGTCCCCCCTTAATTTCACCTTCTCCTTTGAAGTTTTGTTTTATTCCCATAGCTTTTGCACGCTTGTAATTTGCTATGGCTCGAGGATTGAAAACAAAACCTGATAGGAATTTTTCCTTGAGCAGTTTCCCTCCACCAAGTGCTTTGAAGAATTCCGTTCCGCGATCAAACAATACAACACCACCCCAGTATCGAGGCCAGAAGTCCTTTATCTGCAGCATCAAAATAACACATCATCCAAAGTTGAAGGTAAGAGGCAGAAGTTGAAGTGTAGTTAGTTATACCTCTGACTCCATATGCTCATGAAGAACTGCAAATAGTTGAATTCCCAGTGAATCAAAAATGGGTTTTTTGGCATATAGCTGGTGAGCTTCAGCCCTACACATGATGCACCTGTTTCAAATTCAAATATTAGTTAGTTTCAAGAAAGATGCTCATACTTTGAAGTGGACTTAAAGATATCTTATGGAAAACTCTATATCTCACAGTATAGTCGAGCCAGCTTTTCAAGGTCGTACCCTAGTTTTCTTTGTTTTATTTACATCTTTTTATAGTTTAAGACAAGGTTATCATCCTATATCAATATACCTTCATTATGTGATCTTTATTTTAATTTGTGAATCTCTGTCTTGTATTTACTTAGTACAACCCTGTAAAAAAGTATTGATCAACAAACCCCACACACCCCACACCCCCCCCACCCAACTTGTCTGAGTTCATGACTGAAAAGTTTAGCATTTAGCATAATGGACAAAACCAGGCTCTGAAATAAAGCCATGCTTTAATGCAGTGTATAAGAATTTACCCTGGACGTCGAATGCAGAGAAGGACTGCTGGTTTGTTTCGCCACAGTTCTGAAGCCTTCATTGGAGGTGTTTTGGTTTTCACCAAATGCTCCATCCCCATCTTATACTCTGGAGTTAACTTCTGAATTGAGATGTTTTCGATGGTAGAGTATGGAGCAACTTTTTCAACTACAGGAGGAGGTTGTACACAACCACATGCTCTAGGTTCAGCTGGCTCCATAGAAACTATCCCTTTGAAAATGTATCCATCCTTAATCTTAAAACTGGCCAGTGATTGTTCCAGAGATTTGCGATTGATTGAACTATTTCTTGTTGGTAATTTACTATGAAACTTCTGAGAGTTTACAGATTGAAAACTCCTTTGAATGCTAGTATTTTTCGAAAGTAAGCTAATTTTTTCTGTTGCCAGGGAAGGATGAGAGTTTGGTAGGTGATCTGCACAAGCACTGGTTCTGTCCATAAAACGGGCAACATGGCCTCGCTTCATGCCAAACTGGGAAGAAAGATCTCCAGGGCTTAAGTTAAGGAGCTCAGACAGACATTTCCCACTGGACTCGATCCTATCACCATATTGCATCAAAGCACGGTCATGCAGGTATGACCTGATTTCCAGTGCATCCTAGAGTACACACAAAAGAAATGACTTAGAGGCAGATTCATATGTATATGTGGTGATTCTTTTCTGTGATAAGTAAAAACAAACCAAACTATAAGACATGTTTTTGTAGACATGATGTTCAGAGATTAAGGGAGTGATTTCTGAAAAAAAAAAAACTATAAAATTATATTTATGAGCCAGAGGAAGTGGGAGATTGGTTTTAGATAGCATTTGCTGCAGAAAAATGACAGACGATGAAAAAGACTCTAGATAACCAACCTTCTCTAGCTGTGTCATGCTTAATGCATCCATATCATCTGTATTCATGATCTTTAAGGTTGGCACATCATCCCAGCCTTCTTCCAACAGCTTTGGAAGCAGCACTTTCAGAACTCCCTCCCCAACAAATTCTTCTATCGAAAAAGAAGCCATAGCAGAGAATGTTCCAAGTGAACCAGTTCTCGAACAGGGTCGGGTCTGGATATAGAGAAGATCAAACTCTATTGGTGTTTAGGCTCTAACTACTCAAGACATATAAAGGCCTGAGGAGACGATTACAAATATAGGACTTTAAAAAAACAATATGGATCTCATTCTGGCCGGCAATATTAAATGATTTAACAGTTTAGTTCAATATTTTGATGTTTGTTTCTTTAGGAATGTTTCTTCGACCAATTTACACTAAATGAATTGTTGGATGGATCATGGAGACTAAATACAAAGCTAGAAACAATACCAGGTCATAAATATTGGTTAAAGCATAGAATAATGAAGTAACATAATAAGGTTGTTCCAGGCTTCTATCATTGCCGGCTGAGACCTGCTCTCCATTGTATTACAAATGTCCAAGTATAAATAAAGGGGGATTTGCTTTGTTTTTGGCCAACTTGCCGAGGAAAGTCTTTATATTATTTGTATGTAAAGCAACGGAGTCAACTCTTATGCAGAAGTTTAAAATTCCTCCCTTGGCTGTGCCTTGTTTATCTTTTTTCATTCTTGGGTGAATTCCTTGTGCCTTGTTTGCTGTCTCACTAGTGAATGCTATTATGTCAGCCTTCATTGTTCGGTTGTTGGATGTAAAATCCAAGATGAGGGTACTTTGATTAACATAGATAGGGACATTCCATAAAATAGATAGATAAATGGATAGATTGATAGATTTACAAACAAAAGCAGCAAGACTACTACTCTTCTTTTATTCATATAGTAGTGAGACTAAGTAGAAGCTATTTGCGCAAATCCTTGAAATAGGCAGCTGGGTTGCTCTCAAAGCTCTCCCTGGTGATTGTATAATCTCTTCCAGGTGCTTTCATATTCCCTGATGCATTGCCTCCACCACCACCACCACCACTTGCTCCTCCTACATTGGATGACTTGGCTCCACCACCAGCATTTTGGTTTCCCACCTGGCTATTACTATTACCATTAGACCCTTTGCTGCCTCCCATCTTTGCAATCCAAAATGCTTTTCTGGTTTCTGTTTTTGGTCAGGGGAGATAATCCGAAGTGCAAAATTACTCAGTTGGCTTGGTTCTGTGGCTTAGTTGGAGGGGTGCATTGCTATATATACACACAGATTCAGATTGTAGTGCATCAGTTTGGTTCTAAGAATTAAAAGAGTCAAAAGTGGAAATGAATAGAAGAAGCATTGGAACTGCCAGAATACTATTGACTGTTTGTTCATTGAACTTGAGTTTTACAATTACTGTGATAGGATTGGGATTTGAATACTTGGATGAAGTATGGTGTTTCCAATCCAAGTACGTGGTTTCCTTTCTGACTGAATGTCTAATTACGAAAAGGATGGCATTTCCCAACAACAATTGTACAATAAAGAAAGCTTGAACGTCATCGAAAGTCCTGCAAACTCCATTATAATTTCTTGCTCAAATATCAGATACCTCAATCAACAAGGTGTTTTGATCCCCCAAAAAAAGAAAAGAAAAAGAAAAGAACTACGAGGCCCAAATAGAATCAAAGCAAACAATTTAGGTCCGCAAAAGAAGAATATGACAGCCCAGAGATCTTCGACCAAATATCTTGGTGGGAGCGGATATGAAAGTTTTAGTGACATCGAAAATGGGGAAAGCGGATCCGCTCCCGAGGTCGATCACTACTTTTCAAAGCTCTAGTCTCTCTGTTAAGTTGAGAAAAAGTCATGAAAGGAAATCATATGGTAACATCATTGGTGACGAAGCGGGGAGATAATTCCAACATGAAGTCACTAGACTACCATGATGCATCAAAAGTCAACAAATAGCAGCTCAAGGTTTCAATGAGAGTCACTTACGATTATACTTGCCCTTTGGATTGTTGTAAATTGCAGGACAAACTAAGTAACAAACAAAAGCAACATGACCAGATTGGTTTTTTCTTGACTTTTCTTCTCAACAATCAGGAGCAAGAAAAGCTTTAAAAACTCGGTAGGGTTCATTCAGAGAAAGAGAGAGAGATAGCCAAAGAGAAAAACAAGACCCAAAAAAATGACTACTTTGGGAGGCCTAATAACCATTCTTTCAAGCTTTCTGTGTCTGCTCCTTGTCTTAGCTTTCATCAAGATCCTTCACAAACTATGGTGGACTCCGATTCGCATACAGAAGCTGGTGGCTTTGAAGGGGATCAAAGGCCCTTCTTACAGATTCATCTATGGAAATACCAAAGAAATCTCCAACATGAAAAAGGAAGTCATGGGCAGGCCTCACATTTTATCACACGACATATTTTCCGTAGTTCAACCTCACGTTCACTCGTGGACCAACATATATGGTAACAACAAGCCATCTCAATTAGTTGACTTTTGTTATTTAAATCTTAGTTCTAAACAAGATAAGTTTTGGTTATTTTTGCATGCAATTACAGGGAAGAATTATCTTCAATGGCATGGTTCTCGAGCTCAGTTGGTCATAACAGAACCTGAGTTGTGCAAAGAGATACTGAATAACAAAGACAGAGCTTATCCGAAAAGAGAGCCCCCAAACATTTCAAGGAAGCTAGTTGGAGATGGCCTTGTGGCAACAAGCAAAGCTGAAAAATGGGCAAAATTGCGAAAGCTGGCCACCCATGCTTTCCATGGAGAGAGTTTAAAAGTAAGTTTTTAAGTTGCTGGTACTTTGTTGCAAAGAGTATTATAGTAATAGCTGTGTCAACTATTTAAACATGAAAAGAATAAGTTGAAGGCAAAAGTCTGCTAATAGCATGATAGTATTATTGTTTTACTAGAGTATGATTCCAGATATGGTAGCTAGTGCCGAGATGATGCTAGAAAGGTGGACAGTTTATGAAGGAAAAGAGATTGAGGTGTTTGAAGAGTTTAGATTGTTCACTTCGGAAGTGATTTCGAGAACAGCATTTGGCAGCAGCTATTCAGAAGGACAGGACATATTTGAAATGTTGAGGAAGTTAGGCTTCCTAATATTCAAAAATATTCTCAAATTCAGGGTTCCTGGCATCAGGTAACTTAGTACTTCTAATATTCCAATTGAAGAGAAGAAATAAGAAATTTTTAGAGAGTTACACCTGTTGTCTCATTTTTAGTCTTTCATTCAATGTTGTAGTAAGCTCTTCAAAACCAGCGATGAGATCGAATCGGACAAACTTGAGAAAGGAATCAATGCCTCCATAATAGAGATGGTTAAGAAAAGAGAAAAGAAGACAATGACTGGAGAAAACGACAGCTTTGGGAGTGATTTTCTTGGATTACTTCTGAAGGCTAATCATGAAGCCAATGAGAACCAGAGGATTTCGGTGCAGGAGATAATTGACGAGTGCAAGACGTTTTACTTTGCCGGACAAGAAACCGCTAATACTTTGCTTGCTTGGACTGTCTTTCTTCTGGCACTCCATACAAAAATAAATCTCTGAAGGGCCTGGACAAACTCCGACAGGCCTGGGCAAAATAAATCTCTCAAACATAAAACCATAACTGGGGAGGTACCTAAGGTAGTGCTAATAACACTCAAATTAACATTCTAAGTATCCCATACGAAATCAACAAAGATAGCACTTTCTTAATTATTGTAAATCTACACTCAAGATATTCAAATGTATCCAAACCCAAATATACAACACAAATACTTCATAATATATCAAATTCATTAATCAAATATATAATATATTTCAAATGAATCATTAAAACAATATACATAAACTTTCCACACTTGGTCAACTGGGCCCGCAGTTAGACTAGGAAAGCTGATTGTTCCTAGTAATCTTGAATTGGATGTCTCAATCCTAGCACTTCACCATGATCCTCAAATCTGGGGACAAGATGTGCAACTTTTCAAACCAGAGAGATTCTCGGAAGGGGTTGCCAAAGCAACCAACAATCATGTAGGTGCATTCATACCCTTTTCAATGGGACCTCGAATTTGTGTGGGCTTAAACTTTGCGACAACAGAAGTGAAGATTGCTTTGTCAATGATTCTACAACGTTACGCCTTCACCCTTTCCCTGGGTTATGTCCACTCGCCCTTACATCTTCTTACAGTTCGTCCACAACATGGAGTACAGGTAAGGCTACAACCACTTTGAACTGCGAAGATCAGGTCAGTAGCCCATGATTCTTGTACTTGGTGCATAAAGTGGGCATAACCCATGTTGTGCCTATGAATGTTGCACTTTGAGACAAGACAGACAAGAGCTAACTTGTCAATTATCCTTTCAAGTTTACAAAGCGATTGTTCTCTTTAGTTTTGCAGTATTTTGCTGAGTCCAAATTATTCCTGTTTGTTTTTGTTTTCTGGGTAGAATGAAATCTTATGCTTACAGTGGTAATAAACATTTTCAGTTTTATGGTAAAACGACTTTTGAAAAAATGGCAGAAAGAAAGCTTAAACACAATATGAAATTTGTAATTAATCCCAAAACCAAGATGATAAAAGAAGCAAAATAGTAGACTACTACTCTTTTATTCATGTAGTAGTAGTGAGTAAGTAGTTACTTCATTCCTAGCTATTTGTGCAAATCCTTGAAATAGGCAGCTGGGTTGCTCACAAAGCTCTCCCTGGAGATTGCATAATCTCTTCCCTGGAGATTGCATAATCTCTTCACAAAGCTCTTCCAGTTGCTTTCATATTCCCTGCTGCATTGCCTCCACCACTACCACCACCACTTGCTGTTACATTGGACGACTTACCCCGCCCAGCATTTTGATTTCCAACCTGGCTATTGCTATTACTATTAGAGCCTTTGCTTTCTCCCATCTTTGCAATCCAAAGTGTTTTTCTGGTTTTTTATTTTATTTTTATTTTTGGTGAGATAAGATAATCCAAACTGCAAATTACTTGGTTGGTTCTGTCTCTGTGGCTTTGTTGGAGGGGTGCATTGCTATATATATACACAGCACAGATTTAGATTGTAGTGCAGAAGTGGAAATTAATAGACGAAGCAGGAACTGCCAGAATTATATTGACTGTTTGTTCATTGAAATTGAGTTTTCCAAATACCGGGATAGGATTGGGATTTGAATACTAAAAACCTTTGGATGAAGATTATATATTGGAATATGGTTTTTCCAATCCAAGTATGTGGTTTCTGAATGCTAATTAAGAAAAGGATGTTATTGAAGTCGACGCATTTCCCAACAACAATTGTACAATAAAGAAAGCTTGAACGTCAAAGCTCTGCTAATTCAAACTGAAACTGCATTACAATGTGTTGTAGTAGCAAATCAAATTCTTCAAATTGAGAATTTGTTGGCTACATTAATATTTTATGCCCCAACAAACTCTTCAATTCAATTAATGCAATGTTACGGAAAATAATGAAAAATATGAAAACGTGTGAAAAATGTCTATATATTTATTGTTTGGAAGGAAAAAATGAATGTTTTTAGATTTTCAAAGTAGGTTTTATTTTTCTAAAGAAAAATAAATGTTTTGAAGAGTCAATGTCAATTACAAATCCTGAAGAGAGAGAAAGATGTTATACCTTTGATGACTGATTTTGTCAATAATGTTAGAGAGGGTTTTGATGATGTGACTCACCTATTTTAGCATTCCAAATCTGTTGAAGAGGCTGTTAGAGACGCTCTAATGTTTTGCTCTAATATCAACAAGGTGTTTTGACCCCAAAAAAAAAAAAATTTAAAGAAAAGAAGAGAACAACGAGGCCGAAATAGCGCATTTAGGTTCGGAAAATAAGCATAAGAAGGCCCAAAGTTCAGAGAACCTCAAAAGAGCCTTCTAGGTAAACAAACAAGAGTTACGACCAAAAAAAAGGTAAACAAACAAGAGCTAAAAGGTCATTTTAAAAGCCCAACATAGTGGGACTATTTTGGGCCTCTGCCAATGACATTTTTCTTGGTCGTAAAAACTAGCTCTGTCTCTCTGAGCTAAAAAGTCATTTTAAAAGTCCAAAATAGTGGGCTATTATGGGCCTCTGCCTATGACATTTTTCTTTTAGGTCGAAAAAAGGAGGCCCTCTCTCTCTCTCTCTCTCTCTCTCTCTCTGTGGCTACTCAGCAGCCTTCCTAATTATACTCGAGTTCAAACAGAGAGGTACGGGCTCTTTGACAAAGCATTTTTACTGTTTTATGGGATGGAAGCATGAATTTGATTGTCCTTTCTGATGGTTTAAAAGAATTTTTTTTTCCCTTTTCAAGACATTGAATTTAATGAGGTTAATATGAAAATGTTAGAGTCTAAATTGAATTCTATTTGATTGTAGCCGTTCAGCTCAATACGGGAAGCCCTTGCTATGATATCATGAAGAAAGTTGAAGTTTTACTCTAAAATCAATTGGCTATGGAGGAGTATTCCAATTCTTTATAAAGGCCATCAACTTTTCAATGCGACACAAACACTCTCAAGTTCTCAACATATATACCTCCTTTTATATTATATGTTTTTTTGGGGACAACATGGCATATAGGGAAACTTAAATGCAGACTTGTGAATAAAATTACTTTGTTACATTTGTCTTTTTTGGGGGTGATCTTATGTTATGTCCCATGGGATGACGCCTAAACGAGCCGCATTTTCTTGTCTTACAAAATTCACAAAAGGCACTTAATATATCTCATCCATCCAAGACAGGTAATCACATAAACTGGTGGACATAATTTGCTATGCCTACTAGCTGCTGCAATAAGAGTCATACGAATTGTCAATCTCTCTCTCTCTCTCTCTCTCTCTCTATATGTAGGATGACTGAGAATGCTTAGAGAGGAGTGGATAGACCAATTTAAAATTATAATAAATAAATAAAAATAAACTTCAATAGCATGATTGATGCGGGAGTGATTTTTGTTCTACAGGAATATTCCATCCATTGATTCCCCTTTTTTCTTCGCTGTCTCTTTTTCCCTGCAAAATAGATTGGAATAAAAGGACCACAACCAGGAGGTGTTGGCCAAAGACCCTTCAATGTCTAAGTTAGTTCGATTGATTTGTAGAGAAATAATAATTAAAAAGGGTACGAAGCTCTCGTGAAGAGAACCGAGTGGTCGGAGCCATGTGTAGTGGTCAGAGCCTTATGTGAGAGAGAAAGAGTTTTAACGGCTATCTCTCTCTATATATAAAATATATATATGAAATTATCTGTAGGTCCGCAAAAGAAGAATATGAGAGCCCAGAGATCTTCGACCAAATATCTTGATGGGAGCGGATATGAAAAGTTTAGTGACATGGAAAATGGGAAAAGCGGATCTGCTCCCGAGGTCGATCACTACTTTTCAAAGCTCTAGTCTCTCTGTTAAGTTGAGAAAAAGTCATGAAAGAAATTCATATGGTAACGTCATTGGTGACGACGAAGCCAGGAGATAATTCCAACATGAAGTCACTAGACTACCGTGATGTATCAAAAGTCTACAAATAGCAGCTTAAGGTTTCAATGAGAGTCACTTACGATGATATTTGCCCTTGGGATTGTAGTAAATAGCAGGACAAACTAAGTAACAATCAAAAGCTAACATGACCAGATTGGTGTTTTCTAGACTTTTTTTCTAAACAATCAGGAGCAAGAAAAGCTTTAAAAACTCGGTAGGGTTCATTCTCAGAGAGAGAGAGATAGCCAAAGAGAAAAACAATACCCAAAAAATGACTACTTTGGGAGGCCTAATAATCATTCTTTCAAGCTTTCTGTGTCTGCTCCTTGTCTTAGCTTTCATCAAGATCCTTCACAAACTATGGTGGACTCCGATTCGCATACAGAATCTGATGGCCTTGCAGGGGATCAAAGGCCCTTCTTACAGATTCATCTATGGAAACACCAAAGAAATCTCCAACATGAAAAAGAAAGTCATGGGCAGGCCTCACATTTTATCACACAACATATTTTCTGTAGTTCAACCTCATGTTCACTCGTGGACCAAGATATATGGTAACAAAATTACAAGCCATCTCAGTTAACCTTTGTTATTTAAATCTTAGTTCTAAATAAGAAAAGTTTTGATCATTTTTGCATGCAATTACAGGGAAGAATTATCTTCAATGGCATGGTTCTCGAGCTCAGTTGGTCATAACAGAACCTGAGTTGTGCAAAGAGATACTAAATAACAAAGGCAGAGCTTATCCGAAAAGAGAGCCCCCATACATTTCGAAGAAGCTATTTGGAGATGGCCTTGTGGCAACAAGCAAAGCTGAAAAATGGGCAAAATTGCGAAAGCTGGCCACCCATGCTTTTCATGGAGAGAGTTTAAAAGTAAGTTTTTAAGTTGCTGGTACTTTGTTGCAAAGAGTATTATAGTAATAGCTGTGTCAACTATTTAAACATGAAAAGAATAAGTTGAAGGCAAAAGTCTGCTAATAGCATGATAGTATTATTGTTTTACTAGAGTATGATTCCAGATATGGTAGCTAGTGCCGAGATGATGCTAGAAAGGTGGACAGTTTATGAAGGAAAAGAGATTGAGGTGTTTGAAGAGTTTAGATTGTTCACTTCGGAAGTGATTTCGAGAACAGCATTTGGCAGCAGCTATTCAGAAGGACAGGAAATATTTGAAATGTTGAGGAAGTTAGGCTTCCTAATATTCAAAAATATTCTCAAAGTCAGGGTTCCTGGCATCAGGTAACTTAGTACTTCTAATATTCCAATTGAAGAGAAGAAATAAGAAATTTTTAGAGCGTTACATCTGTTCTCTCATTTTTAGTCCTTCATTCAATGTTGCAGTGAGCTCTTCAAAACCAGCGATGAGATCGAATCGGAAAAACTTGAGAAAGGAATCCATGCCTCCATAATAGAGATGGTTATGAAAAGAGAAAAGAAGACAATGACTGGAGAAAACGACAGCTTTGGGAGTGATTTTCTTGGATTACTTCTGAAGGCTAATCATGAAGCTAATGAGAACCAGAGGATTTCGGTGCAGGAGATAATTGATGAGTGCAAGACATTTTACTTTGCCGGACAAGAAACCGCTAATACTTTGCTTGCTTGGACTGTCTTTCTTCTGGCACTCCATACGGATTGGCAAGAGGAAGCAAGAAAGGAGGTGTTACAATTATTTGGCAAACAAACTCCAAATGTTGATGGCATTGGCAAACTGACAACAGTAAGAAACTTGTCTAGGTGGCAGAAATATGTTCTCAATAAAGTTTGAGATCCTGATTTGGTTATCCATTTTTCTTTTTGATGCAGATGAGTATGATCATCAATGAGACTCTAAGGTTATATCCCCCTGCTGTTCACGTTGTAAGGAGAGTCGAAAGGGAAGTTAGACTAGGAAAGCTGATTGTTCCTAGTAATCTTGAATTGGATGTCTCAATCCTAGCACTTCACCATGATCCTCAAATTTGGGGACAAGATGTGCAACTTTTCA